TCAGTCGCGAGCCATTTAAGCTCCCTTTGCTTTTCCCCCTTGGTTTCGAGTCTTCGTCTCCGACGATCTTCGTGTCGTTTGCTGAGAGGAGAGACTTGCGGCACTTTTTTACCATTGACAGGTACATCAAGTGCACAGGTGAGAAGATTCCAAGAGCTAAAAGTGTCCCTTCTAAGCGAATCGTTGGAAAACCTTTCGCACTTTCTCAGGAAAATTTCTTTTCTTCGTGAAATTACGAAGGATCTTCTGCTATTTCGACGTGAAAAAGTAGCCAGATGATAAATTTCATTTAGACGATTTGATCGAGAATCGTTGAAGGCTCGTTCCTATTAAGGAAGTTGGTCGCTTTAAGTCTTCTATGGTTATTAACGGTTAAGTGAAATTGCCTGTGGCATCTTTGTGAGAAAATTCTTTTAAAGAAGACATCAGTCAGGCAGAATTAATACGGCGTATGTTAAGGTAGATTGATGTAATCTGCGTAAGAAAGACTTTGCAGCTCTTTCATGCCACTCAACATCTGACTCGAAGAACCTAACTCCGTAATTGCAATTTAAAGAAAATTACGTCTCTGTGCAGCGTTCCATTCAAACGAAAGCATCCTTCGAGACACGGGGCAGTCGTTACGCAATTGCACTCGTAATCGGCAACGATCCTCTCGATTCCAGGCTCTCCGGCTCGCGTTACTTCGTTATGTCAACCTGACGATACGTATTTTTTATTCTGCAACACCGACCCCGTCCACCTTTCACACGTTGCTATTTTTAAACCCGGAAATGCAATCCGAATTAACAAATAGCCAGAGTGGGTACCTATCAATACTTCAAAAATTTCAATATCGAAAGACAGACTCTTCTGTGTACCAAAAAATACACAAATTTTAAAGGATCTAGTTCAGATTGTACCAAATTATACACATTGTGGACCAAAAGATTGCGCTGCAGGCTATGCAAAAATTTCCAGAGACTCTCGATAACTTTTTAAGAAGTGAATTGCTATCGATCGCTGCAAAGTTACTTGCAAATGCAAAAGCTTCCAGAGACTCTCGACTTGCTACCGATCACGCGCAAAATTAATCTATTTTCAAACCCGAGAATCCAATCCAAATTAACAAATAGCCGATGATTTCGCGTCTGCAGCGGGAGTACCTATTAATGCATAAAAAATTTAAATATCACAAGACAAACTCTTCTCTGTACCAAAAAATACACGAATAAGAGGTCTAATTCAGATTATCCCAAAAATTTCCCACAAAATGAATTGCAAATCCATAAAAAAAGCAAACCGAGCAACGCAAACTCAACAAAACCGGACACGGTAAATCTGTTAAAACTTGGACGCTAATCAACCACGTTCTCCAATATCCCAAATTCATTCCGCTCCGACGAAAAGGAAAGATCTAAGGTTGCAAGTTGATGATAAAGGTCTAACGAACCGCCTCCGAATTAATCGGCTTCGATCCAGGAATGGAACGCCATCAATAACCAAGCCTCCAAATTAACCGTGCTTTCTTCTCACTGTGCCTCCATAAATCACGGACATTCAAACTCCGTGCAGCATTAACAAGCTGCTGGTTGCTGCTGTTCCCTACCGCTCTCTCTCTCGATTCTTCCTCGCGCGTTAAAAAAGAGAGCCGCTCCGATCGTGAAGAAGGGCTCGGTACGTCCAGTAAGCGATTATCGAACCGCTTTGCTCGATTCTCGAACGGCGTTTCCCCCGCGGGGATCCGGGAAACAAGATGTTATCGGTGTGGTTGGTCCGGAGGAGAAACGGAGTTGTTCTTCGTTTCCACGCAATTCCATCGGTTGCAACAAAGTGTAATGCTTGGCTCGCGAGGGGTCCGCGCGCTTCCACGCGCAATTACTGTTACGTGTATCGATGCGGAGAGAAGCGAACAGAGGAGGGAAGAGAGAAAGAGAGAGATCTCTGGGAAAAAGGAGCGGCCAACAAGGGGGCCACACATCGATTCGAGGGAAACGTCGTTCTTTCCGCGAAAGAAAGCCGCGTTCCGCGGAGATCCAGCGGTTTTTCTGTCGAACAGCTTTGTCTGAGAACTCGCTGGAGATTTTTCTTCTCTCGTTCCAAGTACGGTGAAATGAAACAGGATTCTTTTTTTTTTACTAGAGAGGATTCCTCTGACTCTTTGGACGTATGGATAGATTAGACACGATGTAGCTTTATCGCTCTCTAGACTCTGCTCAACCCTTCCTCTGTCGAGCATAGAACACCTGTATATTAGTAGAAATGGAATGGGAGATTTTCAGTGGACTCGGTTTCTCAGGTACTTAAGCCTTTCGCTGTTGATTAGAAACATGATGTTCCGCAATAAAAATGCGTCTTTTTTCTGGGTCATTTTCTAGTTCTCGATTAATACGTGCTCCTTGTTTGGTGTATGTTTAATCCTCGACAGGTATGTCAGCCGCCCGACCCTTAGATTTCTTAGTATGTAGTTCTATTGTATATATTTTTCGCCTTCGCTCGTTTCGTAGCAGCGGTAATTTTATGACGCCACGGCAGTCCTGCTCCCTTTCGGTCTAAGAATTTGCTTTTACCTTTTTTATTGTCTCGTTTTCTACTTAGAATCTTCGCCCCTTTTTCACTTGTACATTTTTGCATTTTATGGTCACCAGAGCCGAAGCGCGTCTTAACGTTATTGTCTGCTACGGTGATTGTTCGAGGCACTCGGAATTCTCGCGTGCGTCACTCAGGGGTACGCTTGGTACCTGAGAGTGACCTATGGTCT